TTAATTGCATTTTAATTATTTTGCCCTTTTATTTTGCCTTTTTATTGTATTTTAAATGTTGTAAGCCACCCAGAGACCTTTGGGCAGTGTGGGCAGCATATGTTAAATAAATAAATAAATAAATAAAGAAAGAAAGAAAGAAAGAAAGAAGTAGTTTTACACAATTAGAAAAATTCTACAAGATGGAAAGGAAACAGAAGATGTACCTGGAGAATGCTTTTTTGTTCCCATTAGCATCCTTTGATAATCTCAACTCATTATCACCCTTTGCCTTCCTAACCATCCCTGCAATTTTTTCATACCTGTCTGTACTTACTCTTCCTTTGTGGCCTGGCTTTCTTTCTGCTTCCTATATGTGTCCTTTTTTTTCATGTACTTTCTGAGTGATTTTTTTTGGGATGCCACATTGGTCTTTTTTGCAGCCTTCCACTTATTTTTTTCTTGTTGGAATCGTTTGTTGTTGAGCCTTTATAATGTACTTTTTATCATGTGGAGGTAGTCCTTTTGTGTGAATTTGTCTCGATTGAAGTTAAACCCTTGGATTTCTATTAGGAGAAGATGTTCTGTGACAGTGTTTGGTTTATTCTTTAGGAATTCCACTTGGAACTTGGGTTGATTTAATTATATAAGACAGAATTATTATTTTATTACTGTAGTTCTCATTTATTTGTATTGTGTCCCTTTGTTGTTGTTATGTGCCATCAAATCACCTCCAACTTATGGTGACCCTATGAATGGGTGGTCTTCAAAATGTCCTGTTCCCAACTGCTATGGCTTCCTAGAGTCAATCCATCTCACACTTAGTCTTCCTCTTCTGCTTTCATCCTGTCCAAAAGAGTACTGCTATCTCACGCTATGTTAGACGGTCAATCCATCTCACACTTACTCTTCCTTTTCTGCTTTCACCCTTTCCAAAAGAGTACTGCTATCTCACGCTATGCCCAAAATAGGACAGGTTATTTTGATATAATTTTTGATAAAACTGAGGCTGTCCTATTTTGGACACCTCATGAGATTCTCATCCTTCTGGTTTCTTAGATAATCACTTGATTATGACTTGAGAACTCTTAATTGATATTGAGCCCTTTTAAATAGATCTATGACATCAGTATGCAGTACATCATATGGAAAGCCAGACTAAATTCAGATGAGGGAGGAATGAAAATTGATGGAAGAAACGTAAGATATGCAGATGACACCATCTTGCTGGTAGAAAACAGCAATGACTTAAAATGACTTTTAGGGAGTGCCAAAGCAGAACTGCAGCTGACTGTTTACAAGACAAAAATCATGTTTATGGAAGAACTACAAAGCTTTAATGTTGTCAATGAAGAAATTGAAATAGTTAAGAGATTTTATATACTTTTAATCATCAATCCAAATGGAGATTGCAGTCGAAAAATCAGAAGACTGAGA